TACTAAAGACTTAAGAACAAGATATGAAAGTCATTCTATTACACTATTTGTCTTTTAAAGAAAACATTTTCAAAATGATTGAGAGACATGAAATCGCACTTAGTTATCTTCCAAGTATTCTGAAAGCTTTGTCTGTCTGCACCTTCTTCCATTAACCACCTTTGCCATCCATGGGAACAAGGAATCCTGTTTATTTATTCAGTCTATATGTGAGCTATAGAACAACTGAGAACTAAGTACGCCTAATCCTTTATGTTAATGAAGAACTATACAAGTGTCTCAAAAGCCTCTTGAAAGGCTGGTGTTATAATGAGGATCTGATGGATTGCAACTATGGGAAGGAGAAGGGCTTCAAAGGAAGCCAGGGCAGTTGGTAAACAAATTGGCAATTTCTTTTTGTTTTTGAAACAATTTAGTAGGCCTGATTTCTATTTTCCTGAACAACTTGGGGAAGACATTCTGCTTGTATCCTCTGAGTGAGGTCTCTTTGACTGAATAACTTCCTACAGGGTGTGTGTGGGGGGGGGGGGGCGGAGAATGTTGACCTTCAGGATTGGAAAAAGTCATCCAGGGCACAGGGAGGAAATCTTTATTAGATGGGCAATACTCTTGGTTAGTTATTAAATAACATTCTCAGAGATTTTCCTAAGTAGAGTTAAATCATTGGAATAAAAAGGGGGGCAGGGGGGAGTGGACAAGTGGTAGTTAGAAAAAGCTGAAACAAAACAAGGCTACCTCCAGGGAGATCTAGACAGCAATGGCATGCAATATGTCATTCATGGATGGCAGTGAGAAGAGAAGGAGTGAGCAGAAGTGGAGATCATTACTTTCTACTTCAAATAGGATCCTGTCTTCACTTAGGTCTGACTCATGGGAACAAAGACTTCTGGAATCCCTCCACTAGAAATGAAATGAGGTGTAGGAAACTCAGTCTCCCCCAAATTATGTCAGAGACAGGGATCACTAATTCTTGAATTCCCTAAAGAGTCATCCACCTCCTACAGAAACTTAAATGCATAGATAGATATTTCTTTGGGGAGAAAAACCAAGAAGCTTACTGTAGGGGAGAAAACAAATGAGAAACAATGTTATAAGTATTTATCAGAAATGTATATGTGTTTTTTTCAGCCTTTAGCAAGTGCTTTGTAAACATAATTATGCAGGACCTTTGTGCTGCTTCTATAGCAGTCTATGCATTCCTCTATTACAGCAGTTCATTCCTCCCCTGCTATATTCTGAACTCCCCAAGGACAAGAACAAGATGTCACTTATATTTGTGCCTGTATTTGACCCTATCACTTGATTCAAAGTGGGTAAATAAAGAAGACATAATTTTAAGTGATGTAAGCCAGATTTGAAAAACACACAGGGTATATTCCCACTCAATATGTACCTAATATCTGAACTCTGTAGAAGAAATGGAAAAATATGAAGATATGGTTGTAGAGAAGGTAAGCGCAGATAACAGATACTAGAAGGGAATGGGTAATAGAGGTAGAGTAGAAGAGGAAAAGGGAAGGAACATTTAACAGACAAAAGAATACTAAATTCTCTATTTAAAAATCTGTAATTTTTGCTTTATAAAAATGAAAATTTTTTAAAAATAGGGACCAGCAGTTGACATAATGGCTATGTCTCTGGACTCTCATGTACTTCCCAGTGGTTCGAGTCCCAGACTCGGTGACTTAAACTCACATGGGGTCCGTGTACGTGCATGTCCAAGATTCCAAAAGGAGAATGGAAGGGATGGGATTGTGACATGGCCATCCCCACTAGGCGGGGGGAGTGATTTCTCACTTACTGTCTTTCTTTGTCTTTCTGGCAAGTGCTCTATAGCAAAAACCTCCCCCCCCAAAAAAAAAATATATATATATATTTTTAAATCCAAAGAAACGACAGATGTCTGTTTCTCTAGGCAAATTCTCACAGAAACCATGACAATCTTGTGTATACACACAATGAATGATATAGTAGTTGTTAAATATATTTTAAGGTTAGCAAATATATTGTTGCTTGGACAAATAAATTTGTTTGGTGAAAATAATACCAATAAAATATCCCCCTTAGATTGAGAAATTACACAGGTATTTTTGGTTTTATTATAAAGTGACTATATTCTATAAAATAGTTTGGTAAACTGAGTTACCTAAGACTGAAAATCAAAGTGGAGGAGATTATGGAGGTCCAGAGCACATAGTCAGGACATCTGAATATGATAGATAAAGTAGGATTAGAATACTTTCAAAGACTAATTTTAGATTGCTCATGGATTGAAACTCTCACACATTGAAGAATTCTGTGGTTCTTGGTAGCACTGAGGAATGGCAGGTGGAGTTAGCAGTTATGTCTAGCTGTAAATTATGTTTTGCTTTGGAAGGTACAGCTTGCTTGCATTTCATATACATCTAGTGAAAGTTACAGTGTTCCCTGGGGTTATAAAAAAATTCAACCCTGTACAAATAATTCTGATTTAACCCTGAGACTACTTATAAGAGTGCTATGCATATTGCTCTGTCTTGGCATCCATCTTTAGATCTTCAGTACATAATGTGCATGTGCACATAGTCTACACATGTGTGGAGGATGTCAGGAGGTTCTATAGTAAAGATGTGGTACAGATGGAGCTTCACAATGCTTTGCTCTACAGGACAATCCACAAGCAAATATACATAGATAAAAAAAAAAAATCAAATACTCTACATTGTCCTTTGCTAACTCTTCATTTCTTCTATCAGCACTATGTCAGCAAAATAAAGTCTTTGCTTCTTAGAGACTTGAATAATGAAGAGTTCCATCTTTATTACACACACCTTCCTTTTCCTTTCCATTTCATTATGAAGATGCTTCAGGCTAAACCCACTGCACTTCATGGTGACTTTTATTTCAGGGGACAAATGAATATGTAGCCAAGCAAAGAGCTGATTTATACAGCCTTTTTACGGAAATAGAAAATTCAAAAATGAAAATTGCAGAAAGAGGAGGAAAGGGCAGGTGGAAATAGTGTTTAAAGATCTTTCATTTTATTAAAGGCTCATTTATCTTATTAAAGCTAAAAGGAGAAAAAAAGATATCCTTGTTAAAATGACTCTAAAATAAATTTACTAGCCAAGGTATATAATGGAAATGATGAAGCGATTAAATAGGAATCTGAAAAGTATAAAGGAGAAAATGTGTATTTAGAACATCTTAAAGTTGAGAAATACTCTAACAAGCTAAATCATCCTACAAGCTCTGAAACAGAAAGCAAGCTGTGGATGTGAAGTAAGGTGGAGCTAGTAAGTTCCTCATTGTGAGTTTCTAGTGAAAGGGAGTGTTAAAAAATCAGAGGCTAGAGACACTAAAAACGAGAAGGACTGTCTGCTAACTGTCAAGGCTGGTGAACAGCAACATGGTCATTGTTTTCCAAGTTGAGCCTCCTTGTATAAAGAATCAGTAAATACTTCCCATACCTGTGGATCATTATATTGGCATTTCCAGTACTCTGGACCATTTATATTGCTTTTCTCTCCAAGACAATCCAGAGACAGAGTTATATATATTGCAGTAGTGAAATCATCAAGAATCTCACTCCCCCCTCATGGATGAGCTCAAGATCCCTTATTGAGGGAATAATTTTGTCTTCTACGCTTTGTTTCAAAAGAGACAAAGACCCCGAAATGTATCACCACCTCATTTGGGAGTTTAAGCCCATAAGAATGTGTGTGAAAGGGCCTTTGTACATACAGTATGTACTATAGTTGAGCAGCTAATGTACTACAAACTCTAAAATTTCCTCTGAAACCAAGCAATGACAGTGAGCTAGAGGTGACCATAACAGTACGTATGCTAGTGTGTCTTAGGAAGCAGCTCAGTGGACAGAAGAGCACTCACTGTCTGTTAAAAAACATAAAACCTGCAAAACTGAATTAATTTTCTTCACCAGGTATTAATGAGAGGATGAAAAAGAAGAATTCTGCTTGATACTTCTCTTCTTTCATGCAGTTTTAAAATTTTTGTTTTTGTTTTAAATCTGAATTAAGATGCTTTAAGCTCTTTCTTTGAACCAGGTAGTATTTTAGACTTGTATTTGAATGTCTTTATGTTGTAGCATTAAATATATAGAAGTGTGTGTGTGTGCATGCGTGTCCCCTCAGTTTAATAACCTCAAGAATACCTAGCTAAGATTTCTTACAAAACTGAAGGAGGCATTTTGAAGTTACGGAACATCTACTTCCTAGCAGCTTTCTTTTTACCTCCTACTTGCAAGCTACTATTTCCAAGCTTCCCCTAGGTTTATGCTATTGTGTGCTGTTCTACAATGTCAGCCGCAGGGAAGAGTGGTAAGAAAGGAGCACAGTAATTGCTCACTTCTATCAGCAATCTTATATTTGAAAATACTTGGAGGATACAAATCATATAGGAAAAGGATGACAAGTTAGGAGAAGGGGCTGCCTATAATAAGAAATGAAAGGAACACAAAATTAACCACTCTTCTTCCACTTAAAATACCACCCAAGCAAACCAGGCCTCTAGGTTCACCTTTCTGCCCTGGGTTCCCCGGAAAAAATGCACTAGAGGTGGGGGAGGATGGCAAGGATGACTTTTGTATGTGTAAGTTACAGAGTTTGGGTTCAAAGTAAGCCTGCAAAACTCAAGGCTGTAGAACCAAACATTGTATTTTAGAAACTAGAAGTATAGAATTGAATATGCAGGTGGGTACGCAGGTGTCTCTTCTTGGCCTAGAATCATAAAATCAGTTGCTCAAGTGGCCATCTTCATCACAATAGGTTTGTGTCAGAGAGGAAGGCAGTGGCCAGAGCTGCCTGGTCTCCTGGACTGGGTCAAGGGATGGATGCTGTGGTGGACATAGATATGTTCCAAAAAGGAAATGGCCAACAAATAAGATAAAGAGAATGACTGAAATAATAATAATTATAATAATAATAATAATAAAACAGGAGAGAGAAAAGGAGGGGAAAAATCAACAATAAAACCAGAGTATTGGGAGACCCTGCAGTTTTTCAGATGAAATATTCCCGTTTACACTCGCTCACTGTATTCTGCAAGTCAATATCATTTCTGAAAGAACTGTCCAAATTTTCTGGATAATCCTTCTCCTTCATCTGGTTAGTGCGATGTGACTGCTTTTGCTGGTAAAGGAAGCGGGTCATGATGCCGATGATACAGAAGATGATGAATATCACTACCGCTATTACTCCTGTGGAGAAAGGGGAAGGAAAGAGAAAAAATGGTCACAGTTCATCTGTTCAAGGGAACTGATTCATTCTAGACAAGAGAGGCATTTAGAACCAAACAAAATAAAGTGACACACAAACAAAGCTCGGCCATATGCCCAGGAATGGGACCTATGGAAATGCCCTCAGTCTTCAATAACTATGAAACCTCTCTCTATGTGATGACCTAGGTAGAAAAACAGTTTAAATCACAGCAGGTTTCACTTAATAGACTAAGGTTCTCATCTTATAAATATTTCATTGGACTAGCAAAGGATTTCTTAGTAGATTTTCAAGACATATGTTAAAGAATATGCCAGATAATTTTTTTCCTTTGTTCATAATAAAGTGCTTTTGTGCACATGAGAGTGACAGCAAGAGAAAGAGGTGAACATCCTTCACAGGAACTGCTGTCATATCCTTATTCCAGCCCTTTAGTTAGTTGGATCTTGGGCATTCATACACATGCCTGGTGTGTTTGACTGGCCTGGCCAGGGGTTCAAACTGTGGTCACCACGTTGGGTCTTGCATCTGTTGAGCAGCCCATTACCGCTGTGCTATAGAGCCATCTCAACAAGAATAATTTTAATTAGCACATTTTTGTGTTACCTTGCAACTAAATATTTTAGAATTAGTTCAGCATCCTCGAAAATAATACTTAAATATCTCACATCCCAATACATGCTCTCCTGATATAGTTTACGCAATTTTTTTTTTTTGGTAAGATAAGTTCATTAATAACAAAATGCTTACAAAATATTTAGGGCATTCCTATACAACTCTGTACTCTGCTAGACATTGGCTAGTTCAAAGATGGGGTATCTCAACTCAGTTAAGTGAGATATCAACCTTCTATCCAATCTTGTTGAATTCTAGTATATTTTGATTACATAAGTCTTTTTTTCTTTTTGAGAGAGATATTTTTGCTATATGACATGTGCTCTCGCCAGAGAGACAGAGAGAATGAGAAAATGAGACATCGTCCCCCTCTGGAGGGGGTGGAGGGGATGGCCACACTCCAGTTCTTTTTCCTCCATTCTCTTCCCAGGATCTAAGGCACACATGCACATGTACCCAGTATAAGTTTTAAGTCACCAGGTTGGGACTCAAACTGTGGTCAACTACATGGCAGTCCAGTGACATAATCATTATGCCATCTGCTGGTCCCAATTGCATATGATTTTATTGGATCTATTTTGCAAGTTGTCCTCACCTACCCTAAGACCTCATTCCGACTTTTACCAGAAAGACTCTTAGGACATGAAAGGCAACATTAAGCAAAGAGGTGGTGAAAATGTGGTTGTGGCTGAATGTATGTGTACATGCATGTAAGGTTTTCAGCATTATAATATTTACAACTACTTATGAAAATCAAAGATTATTTTAGTCCTAATAAATTACATATTCTACTATTTTGATTTTCTGTTGAAGGAGAGTAGATGTTGAGAGAAATGTCAACTTTGGAAAGTTATTTTCGGACACCTCCATTTTAACTTCTGTTATTTTTATTTCATATTGGAGGGTTAAATTTATTGAGTGCATATCTTCCACCAATTTGTTGTAGAGCTGGGGCCATTATTAAGATCTCACTGTTTTTAAAAATATGTCTAAATCATTATGTGGCATTAAAAAACAAGCAAACAAACACAAAAACTCTTTTGGGGCCCAACTGGTGACATGATACTGAAGGCACTGCACTTGCACATGGCTGACCACAGCTTGAGTCCTGTACCTGGCAGCTTGAAAATCATGCTGGGTGTGTGTGTGTGTGTGTGTCAAAATCCCCAGATGAGAATGGAGAAGAAGACATTACAGCATGGATATCCCCCTCCTTGGAGGGCACTGGGAGGATTTTTCACCTTCTTTCTCTGGCTTTGAGCTAGCACATGTGCCCTAAGGCAAAAACCTAAAAATAAATAATTTTTTAAAAATGTAGAACAAGGCAGAGTAAAGTCATTGAGTTAACAAACTTATGAATGAACTGGTGATAGGTAATGATACCCATGAATGAGCTATAGCTTCAACAGATGAAATGGAGAACTGATTTCTACCCTCTTAATGCATGGGGTTAAAGGAGTAGAGATAGAGGCTGTGTAAGCCTCTGGGGATTTTTGAGTCCAGCGATGTAGGCATTATGCCATGTGCTGGTCCCGGATGACTCCTACTCTTAACAAGACTGACAGAACGTGTAAATGGGTGGGGAGAAGTTAGCTGTCACAAGAGTCTTTTTTGATTTGTCAGATGGGAAATTATCAGAAGAAACAGAGGCACAAAATTCTCTCCTACATTTGATACCAAACACAAATCAAGAGGAACCTCTTTCTTTGAAACAGAAATTCAGGTCATCTTAAGAACTTTCTTAAGGAAAGGTCATGGTTCTCCTTTCTTATAACAGTATTGTAAGGGCAACCTCTGTGCTCCCATAGCAGTTTATACTTATTCCTTCAGAATAGTCTTCACTGGACCTATTATTATCTATTTACCCGTTCCCTCCCAGCCAAGTTGTGAGTTCTAAGAGGGCATGTTCATGCCTTTTATCCTGATATCCCTCTTCTTCGCACAGGACCTGACCCATAGCTGGGGATCTTTAGGTATAAGTTAAATGAATGGATACTGCTGACTTTGAAAATAAGTCTATCTGGTATGAATCAAAGCTGCCAGAAGGCAAGGATAGGGTACCTACCAGGGTTACAGTTCCCTGATAGAAATGAGTTTAATCCCTCACAGGCTTCTGACATTAAACAAAGTTTGGGAGTCACTCTGCTTTGCAAGAACCAGATGGAGAAATCAAGCTATGGCAAGCAGCAGCCCAACTGACACAGAATGGAAAAAAGGTGAGATCAATAGACAGAGAATAAAAAAAAGCAAGGGAGGGCTTGGGAGCCAAGCTCAAAGCTGAGCACTCAAGATTTGCATCCATAACCATATGTGCTAGGAGATTTGAAACTGCAATCCATGGGCTTCACCCTGCTCATTAGATCTAACCCAAATCACTTCATGAAGAAAATCCAATGGGACTGCGTCTTCACCCATCTGTCTGCCCAACGTGGCTTCTTCCCCATATGCAGCTTTATTGGTCTGCTTTGTTTGTGGTTTAGGAACAATGACAACCGGATGAGAGGAGCAAGACACAGCTGTCTGTCTGTATATAAATGCTCCAGCTGTTGATTCGGTGCTCAGCTGCCTGATGAAGCAGGGGCAGGATAAATCTGCAGAGCTGCCAGTACTGGGCAAAGGGTGCCTTGCATCACTCGGCACACATGACCACTCAGGGAAAGGCCTGGGGAATACAGATTATGTGGGGTTCTGAGTCTCAACGACCATCATTAAGGAAGACTTCAGGGAACCAGCAGTTAGTGTAATGGCTATGTCGCTGGATTCCCATGTAGTTGACCGCGGTTAGCGTCCCGAACCCGGTGGCTTAAAACTCACACCGGGTGCGTGTGCATGCATGCCCAAGATCCCGAGAGGAGAATGGAGGAGAAGGGATTGAGGCGTGACCATCCCCTCTGGGGGTGATTTCTCGCTTTCTGTCTCTCTGTCTCTCTCTGGCGAGTGCACGCGCCCTATAGCGAAAACCTC